CACACACACACACACACACACACACACACACACACACACACACACACCTTTTTTCCCCAGTTGCTAATTACCAAAAAACAATGACAAGTTCGTAGTTCTCGCTAAAGACTACTGCAGTATTTGGGAAAAACTTGTTCTTTATCCCTGGAGGCAGACAGGATCTCCCATGGAGGGAGCAAAATTACTGAGGGCTGGCACCCGCTGGGCTGAGAACGAAGTGCCTATCTCACCAGATTTTCTGTTCCCCTAAGAAATTTTTCTACCCAAAAGGGAGTTGTTTCCCGACCTTCAGATCCCTGGGCTACACTGTCATTAAGTTATGAGTAGAGATATTTAGCCAAAGTACCTGAGAAGGATTTTCAAAGAGATACAAGTAAAAGGTAATAATTTACATTGGAAACCACTGGACTTTTTTGTACAACTCAGTGCTAATGTTAAGAGTTAATTGGACACTTAGGTCCTTAGGGCCAGGGTCCCCAACAAGAGAACAAAAAAAGCCAGCACAGCAGAGACAAAACCACACTAGCATCCTGTTTGACAGCTTAGGCAAGACCGGGATAGCATCCTGTCTAGCAGCCTCTGCAGAAGTGAATTTTGCAAACATCCCGAAACAAAACAATTAACCGTAAAACATGGATCACTATCACAAGTCGAGGCAGTTAGTCTCCAGATCAGCCCAAAGACCATCAACACGTGAACAATAACCCAATAGGTAGACAGGGGCACGATCAGAGTCCTGATTGGCACGCCTTAGTGGCCAATCCCCAGGGACCCACTCTCAGGATGCTCAAGATAGTTCTGCAAAAGAGCTTATAAAAACCCCTAGATTTGAGTGCCAAAACGGCAACCCTCTCAGGTCCCCTCCCTCTGTGGGAGCTTCATACTATGGCTCAATAAACTTTGCCTTGCTGCCCCCCAGTCTTCAGCTGGCCTACCTCTTAATTCTTCAAAGTGGCTTGACCAAGAACCGCGGGTCCTAAGGGAATAAAAATCCTGTAACACTAATTAATTTGGAAGTGGAGGTGATATGGAAATTTTTTAGCAACACAATTTATGAATATTGACCTTTCCCAACCTCCAGTAGGGATAAAAAGTCTAAACAGAATATCCATGAAAGATAGAAATGGAAAAGTGTCTCTTACAAACAAAAGCCCTGGAATCAGAGGGTTAAACGGACGTTCTAGAAGCCTGGGATAAGCAATGCCGCTTACTCATTTAAATAGCACTGGGTGGTTACCACATTTTTCCACACCTACTTTTTGCTGAATGTGCAGTAATCACCTGTGATTGCTTTTGTAATTAAGAAACATAAAAGGAGTTCAAATTAATTGTTTTTCCCTAAAAGGTAAATACACAATTTGATGTCCACTATCAGGTACTCCTCATATCCTAGTCAGAGATTAGAGGCATAAGGGTAAACAACCCTTACTGGACACACATGCAAGCACGTTTGCACGTAAACAACACGTGTATACACAACATATTTTCAGATACGACCGTATACCGTCACATCTCGCACTCTCGAGTATTCCCCCGTAATTCCCACTGAATACATCCACCCTGGCCACACCCACCACCATTCACATTCGTAAAACCACATTCATGCAATCAAGGTGCAATTGTGTATCTTGATAGTACGGGCATATATGGCAAAGGAGGGTGTATTCTAAGGTATTTGCTCCTGAGATGCATGGAGGCTGAGAAATCCCAAAACCTGTCATTTGCAATCCAGAGACGCCACCTGTCCAAGTCTGAATGCAGGACAAAACCCATGTCCTGGCTCAAAGACAGGCAGAGAGGACAAATTTTCCTTTAGTCAACATCTTTGTTCTATTCGGTCTTCAAGGAATTGGAGGAGGTCAACCCACACCGGGGAAGGCAATCTGCTTTAGTCTACTGATCCGAATGTTAATCTCATCCACAAACACCCTCCGAGACACACACAGAATGATGTTGAACTAAGTATGGGGGCACCCCATGCCCCAGGCAGGCTGACACATAAAATTGACCATCACACCATTTAATGAGACAGCTGTCTAGCCACTCAGAGAGAGCGCCATGTGGTGATGCGGTGAGTGGGAAGAGAGGAGTCCGGGTCTGACAACTTCCTAGAATACCTGTCACATCTGAACGGCAACCTCTAGGCATCCTATTACATGAGACGATGCACCTTCCTCTTGTTTTAGTCATCATTGTCCAGGTGCTCTTTCCTCCTCAAACCTCCATCATTGTCCAGGTGCTCCTGACCAACCCCCTCCTTGGGTTTGATCAACTTGCTAGAGCTGCTCCCAGAGCTCAGGAAAACAGTTTACTCACGAGATTAGGGGTTTATTCTAAGAGGATAGAACTCACGAACAGCCAGACGGAAGAGGGGCCCAGGGCCAGGTATGGGCAATAAGCACGGAGCTTCAATGTCCTCTCCAGGCCTGGGAAGCTGCCCGAGTCCTGGGAACATTAGGATTCTGGTGAAGCCCTTCCCCTACCTTGAGGCAGCTGGGTCCAAATGTTCAAGCACAATTCTTTGAGAGGAGGTTCGAATTACTCTTTCTGGCATCAGCCGTAGGAACAGAAGTGAGGGGCGGGCTTGTGACAACAGGCAGGCCATTTAATACACCCCAGTGCTCCTGCTCTCCTAGATCAAAGCACCATCTTCTTCCCATAGGAAGCCCTCTTCTGGTTGACATTGTTTCTTTGTTGCACATTTCTGCAAAAGTTGATTCTGACACCGTTTGCCCGCTCATCCGTTACTTCTGGGGACAGATGGAGCCTGGAGTTTTAGTCTTGCCACCATTTGTTTTGTTTGTGGGGAAAAAACTTAATTGTTTCCATCTGGTCCACGGCTTGGGAGAGGGCTCCGGGGTGGTTAAAAAGCTGCCTGGTGGCTGCAGGGAGAGGCTGAGGCACAAGCTCTGGCACCAGGGGGCTGTCAGAGGGGCCCCCGCAAAGGCTGCTGGTCTCCAGAGGCTCCTCGTCGTGCTTGAGAGTGAGCCTCTGGAAGAGATACTCGCCCAGTCCAGCCTGGGGGCCGGCCAGCCTGCGGAGGTTAGCCGGGTGCTCGCCCATCTTCTCGATGAGTTTCACCTCCTCATCGAGGAAGTGGTTCTCCAGGAAGTCACAGAGCCAAGTGCCAGAAGAGGAGAAAACGTTGCCACTTACGCACTCACAGTGTGACAGATGGGGAAATGAGGCTCAAAGGGAAATTTGCCCAATTAAATGTGGATGAAGGGAGTACTTACACGGGGGTCTGCGCGGGCAGAACCCAGGGCATGCAGATCCAAAAGGACCTGGTTCCGGTTCTTCTCCAGGACCACAGTGCCGCATTTCAGTGGAACTCAGCTACGCCCTGTGTTCACATACTGCTGATCTAACCAGAGCAAGACGGAGTCGGTGCCCAGAGACTGCACAGCTTACAAAGGGTAAAAAAGATGTACTATCTGGCCATCTATAGTAAAAAATAAATGGCCATTTCTGATGCGGATTCACATTTTGTCATGTACATGGAAAGCTATAAAACTTCAGAAATACAGTAACACAGAAAAATCCACTTTAGAGTAAATATGAAGCGAGGATGACACAAGATTGGTCTCAGCTGGAAGAGGAAACCTGCATTCATTCAGAGCCACAAGGTGTTGTATTGAACAAAGGGAGAATAGAGAGAGGAGGGCTTATATTGCAATTTGGTTGAAACTACAAATTTTTTTTAAGATTTTATTTATTTACTTGACAGAGAGAGACACAGCGAGAGAGGGAACACAAGTGGGGGGAGTGGGAGAGGGAGAAGCAGGCTTCCCGCCGAGCAGATCCCAGGACCCCGGGATCATGACCTGAGTGGAAGGCAGAGGCTTAGTGACTGCGCCACCCAGGCGCCCCGAAACTACAATCTTTTATGTTAAAATATTTTCCTTGACGACATCGACATTGAAGTTACAGACTGGGGACACTGCAGGTCTGAACATTTTTTAGAAACCCATTAGTTTCACTTGCTGGGCACTCCTAAGTGAAGGGAACACTGCCCCCCCTGGGTGGCTGCTTTGTTAGGCTCCAGGAGGAGGCTGGGTCCTAGGAAGTACAGGGGGTGTTACTAACGCAGATTTCAGACAGTTCTGGCAAATGGCATTAACGGTCTTCCCCTTAATTCATTATTTCACCCCACCGTAGGAATTACAGAGGTTGTGCTAAAGGAAATTGTCCATGAGTTCTCCAAACAGGTCATCCCCATCCTGGAAATTTTCTATTTTCTCTAATTGCATTTTGCCGCTCTCATCTGTATGAACTACTATTTCATTTGTTTCAGTAAGAATCATAATACAGGCATCTTTATTGTCCCCAAATACTAAAATTTAGATCAGTGGAAACTATTGATATCCAGAGATATTTTCAAAAACCAAGAATTATAAATAGTTCTATGATGAGATTTAAAAACATATCAGAATTGGAAATATGTCTTGGACATTTCCTATGACAATGAATACTTTCCACTCTATCAATCTTTAATTAGCCATGTGGTTACCCGATTTATACCAAATAAGTGTTTTAAAACTGTTATCTGTTGTTACCTTCTTATCTCCTTTTTATTGTTTCTCTCAATTGTTAAACCTCTTCCAGACATCTGTTGAAATTAAATTCTGGGCCCAATAACTAGATTCAAACTCAGTCTCAACAGTTCACTAGATGTTTTATGCAATATTCTCATAAAATCGGAATGATGAGATCTCATGGATTAATTGGTGGTTTTATACATCGGTGTAATAACATAATTTATAATATAAATATTTATAAAATAAACAGTTAAATGATATCTAATGTATGTGTTAAATTATCGTTATTATTTTAGACCTTTTGTTTGCGTAAACATTTTTTTGTAGCGGCCGAAACCCAGGAACAAGCCATAAACTTCTTGATTTTAAAATTATCCAAGGAGTGTTTTCTTAATGTTCTAGCTCCTTGCCATTCAAGGGGTGATCCATGGACCCCTAACTTTGGCATCACTGGGCCTTGTTAAAGTGTGGAATCTCAGGGCCCACCCCAGACTTCCTGAAATAGAGTCTGCGTTGTAATAAGACCCCACTAGAATTTTGTGCATATTAAGATATGAAATGTGCATTTTCAACCAACCCTGACTTCTCCCACATGAGAAATTGTAGATCATGTTGTCTGTACGCATGAGTATCAGTACGGTACGTACATATGTGTGCGTTGCTTCTTACTCTTGCTACCTACCCATCGAGAGTGCTGTGCCTCTTTGGGCTCTCCTTGCCCTCTGTGTAGGGGGCTGGCTTCAGAGTTCACCCGGGAAGCTCCCCAGTTGGCAAACCAACACCTGATGTGTCCTCTCTCTTTCCATTGACACCTGCACATCTACACTGGGAATCAGGGCTGTGAGAAAGATGGAATGATCTAAAGTGTGTAAAACACTTAGTTCAGCTCCCAACATGGACCAAGCGTTAGCAGCAAGAAGGATGGGTTAATGTCCTTAAGTGAATACAGTGTTCAGGCATACTCTGGGAAAGACATCAAATGTCACATGTATATTTTAAATAATTATTCACATGTAGAAATAAAATTTTTTTTAAATATAGAAAGGGGGACAAAGGTCTTCTTTCAAATGTATTCATTCCCAGGTTGGTCCAATTGACCAACAGAAGAAAAGAATATAAATGCTGGAAATTACACTGTAAAAACAAAATGCATACCAGGTGGATCTTTAAGTCAAGACTTGCCAGTGGGTTTTTCTTAGTTCTTGTCTGTAGATCACCTGCCTCAAAAACTCTCAGGACACTAACACAGATCACAGGTTCCTGGATCAACGTAATGAGAATTTCTTTTGTGGAACCTGGGAAGCTCCCCAGTTGGCAAACCAATCACCACTGGTGATTGTAGGGCTTACGTTTCCAACTGCTCTTGGCTTTCTCCAACATGCTGAGCAGGCCCGGGACAGAGGAGCCTGGGGACTCGCTGAGACTTGGAAGCTAATGGCCGTATCATATTGTTATTCTGCAGTCCCCGATGGGGGCTCTGGAGGTGTTATTCCTGTTTCAGAGAAACCCTCATTAAAGCAACCTGGGAAGCCCCAAGCTGAAGAACCCACACTGGTAAAGAGTCTCTTGATTTCCCTCCATCTTTTCCTGGGTTTGGGGCCCCCCGACCAGGAGGCAGCCTGGATAGTCCTATCACACTGCCTGTTAGGAAGATGGCCCTGGCAAGACAGGGAAGCTCTCCTGAGACAGAATCTCACAGGGAGAAGGGGGACATCTGGTTTGCTCCCCCCCCCCCCCCCATGAAATCCCACTCTGAAGAGAATGTGAAAGTTGAAATGACATGGCGTCACTTACGTCCAGGGGTTTTCAAGTGGAGCCAGGAGGTCATTCAGGACCTTATGCCCGTCCTCACCCAGTGGAACCATGAACTTTGAATGGGGCCAACCCACAAATATCTCAAGGACTATGCACAAACACACCTGCAAGTTCTTACAGTTAATGGACTTTAGCAGCCAGTTAAGCCAAGATTCGTTTTCTGCCATCAACACCAATCAAAATTCTTTGTGAGCAACGTATTCAAGCATTCACTTTTGTCCTTAAAAGCCCCTGACTTCTCCCTAGTGAGACACTCTTTGGGTTGCTACCCACATCTCTGTACCCTGCATTGCAATTCTTTGATCCCAAATAAATGCTTTTGCTTAAATATTGTCTCCCGACAATTTTAGGTTGACAAGTGTCATTTGCTCTTTTTGACTCAGGACAGAGTTTTCCCCAAAACAGTTTCATGTAGTGTTCTCTTTGTGCTCTACGTCCAGCTTCCTAACCTTTGCTGTGCGTTACAAATAACCACAAAAGGGGGCGCCTGGGCGGCTCAGTCGGTCAAGTGTCGGACTCGCTTTCAGCTCAGGTCATGTTCTCAGGGTTGTGGGATCAAGCCCGGCTTAGGGCTCCACACTCAGTGGGGAATCTGCTTGGAATTCTCTCTCCCTCTCCCTCTGCCCCAAGCCCCGGCTCACTCTGTTCTCTCTCTCCCGAAAATAAAATCTTTAAAAAACAAAAACAAAAAGACCCCCAAACAACCACAGAGGGTTTGACACTCAACATCCACACAGGTAAGGAAACAGTTTCCACCTCCTGTGTCTCCTTTACTGTCACACGGAGCCCTTCTGACACTTTTGCACCCCCCTCCCCCCAACCAACAAGCAAGCCTCCAACACCAGCTGGGTGTCCAAGAATTCAACTCAATTCTGCCACCATCTACCCCAAGACACATCAGGTCCCACGGGTGAGGGCTCCAGTCCCCATGAGACACCCCCCCCATACACACACACTTTGGGTTTCTGAGCGACCAGCTATAGATCGGAGGTTCCAACAACCCCCTCCTTGAGTCTGATTAATTTAGCTAGAGCAGCTCACAGAACTCAGGGGGACACTCACGTCTGTCAGTCTGTTGAAGGACTGCGGTGTGTCACTCTCCTGGTGTGGATGTGTTCGCCAGCCTGGAAGCTCTCCAAATGCCCTGCTACTGGGATCTTATGGAGGCTTCCTCTCGCGGGCATAGTTGACCATCGGCTCCATTTCCAGCCCCTCCCCTCTCTAGAGAAGGGGGGTGGGGGTGGGTTTGCGAGTTCCCAATCTTCTAATCATGGCTTGGTCTTTCTGGTGGCCAGCCCCACCCAGGAGCCCACCCAGAGTTGTCTCATTAGCACAAGAGATGCTCCCAGGGCCCTTATCACTTAAGAAATGGCAGGGATTTTAGGAGCTCTGTGTCAGGAACCAGGGGCAGAGACCTATATTTATATTTTTTCTATTATCTCATGCCACGTTTCAAGCCAAACCCAACAAATGAATATCCCTGGGGGGTGGGAACCACTCGTTACGGTATTTAGAGCTCACCAGGTGATTCTGATGTGCAGACTAAGAACCAGTCTATTTTCCCACTTATCACACTTCATCCTGCATATGAAACGCCTGGCATTATTAAGAACCCCAGATACTGGTTCAGTAGGGCTGGCTTGTGCCCGAGAGTCTGTATTTCTTAAAAGTTACAGATCCTTGGATTAGACTGTATGAACCTCCTCTTTACTCAGGTAAAACTGGATGAAGAAAAAATAAATTGACCCGAGGTGATAAGGAGGAACAAAAAAAGCTGTAATACGTGTTCTGTTTCAGAGAATTTTATTAATCCTGAAAGAAAGTAATCAACCATAACATTGCAACGGTTTTTTTAAATAACAAAATGTAAAGGTTGAAAGAATATCCCCCATTCCCCAAGGCAAAGAGAATTCCCACTGAAACACTCCC